TTTGTCCCTGGAAGAGAGGGCAGGGATAATGGATTAAAATCAATAATGCTTATACAAAAAAAGTAAAAGAGGAAAATTCCCTGTATTGTTATTGTCTGTAGACGCTGAAAAAGCATTTGACAGAGTAGACTGGGGGTTTATGTTGGATACACTGAAAGTCCTGGGGGTGGGCCCTAGAATGAGAATATGGATAGGGAAATTGTACAGTCAACCATCAGCTGCAATAAAGGTTAATGGGGAAATATCTGAGAATTTTAAGATGTATAATGGGACACGTCAGGGATGTCCCTTCTCACCGCTGCTGTTTGTCCTGTCCTTAGAATCCCTTTTAGAAAATAAGGAAAAATACAGATATTAAGGGAATTAGGATAGGAGAGACAGAGCATAAAGTTGCGGCGTATGCCGACGATATGCTCTTCTATATAGGTAACCCAAGGATAACATTACCCAACTTAATGAAGACATTGAAAGAATATGGGGAGTTGTCTAATTTGAAAATTAACCCAACTAAAACAGAAATTCTAAATATAAATCTCTCAAGAGGAGAGAGAGAAGCCCTGCAAATGGAATTTTCTTTCTCTTGGAAGGAAAAAGAACTAAAATATCTGGGAATAAATTTGACCGTCTCCTTGAAGAACCTATATAAAGTAAATTATATTCCATTATTAAATGAAATTAAAGATGAAATGAGAAAATTTGAAATAGGTGGTATAATATGGATAGGTCGAATAAATTTAATCAAAATGGTAATTGTCCCTAAAATTTTATATAAATTCCAGATGATCCCAATAAAACTACCAGGATTGATTCCTCTTGTGAACACGTGTTTCTTTCCACCAGGGCATGAAAAGATTGTAGGGAGATGGATAAGGAAAGGAGATGCCCAACTAAAAGACCTAATGAATGGCGAGGAAATATGCCCCCTAGTAGAATTGAAGAGGAAGAGGGAGTTGTTTATTAAAGTAGATGAGTGGCGATTTTTACAAATAAAACATTTTATAGGAAAACTTCCTAGGCCCTTAACCACTTCCCGACCGGCCGTTGTATATAAACGGCCGGACGGTGGCAGTACAGGGTCGGGTGGTCGTTTATGAACGGCCTCCCCGCACCCTGCTTGTGCGCGCTCCCTGGGAGCGCGCAGCACCGCGATCCGGTGCCCGCTGTGTCCTCCGGACACAGTGAAACACCGATCGTCGGACGGGACCTCTGTACGAGGTCCCGATCATGTGATCACTGATTGGCCAATCAGTGATCACATGCAAAGTAGTAAGCAAGATGTCACTTGTGACATCATTGCTTACTACGTGTGAAATCTGTGAATGATCACAGAGTCACATGGTACAAGGCTATTCACAACAGCCTTGTACCATGTGACAAGCTGTGACCAATCACAGCTCACTCAGTACTTCTCAATGAGTGCAGGAATGCACACAGAGAGAAAGAGAAATGATTGCTTTTACAGCTTATATGGGTGTAAAAGCAATCATTGTAAAAAAAAAAAAAAAAAAATCTTCATCACCCCCCACAAGTAGTACAGTGTCACCATGGTGACACTGTACTGCTAAGGTGACAGTATGTAAAAAAATAAATAAAAAATAATAATATAAAAAAATAAAATAAAAATGTAAAAAAAGTGTTTAAAAATTATAATTTTTGGTTATAAACTAATGTTTTGGGTTTTTTTTACTAAAAAGATAACGGAATACATTTTGGCAAAGATTTATGATGAAATATTATTTATTTGCAAAATTTTATTAAAAAAACACTTTTGTTCAAAATTTTTGGACTTTTTCATTTAAATAGCAAAAAAAGTAAAAATCCCAGCAGTGAATAAATACCACCAAAATAAATCTTTATCTGTCTCAAAAAAATGGTAAAAAATGAATTTGGGTACAGTGTTGCATGACTGCGCAATTGTCATTCAAAGTGTGATAGCGCTGAAAGCTGAAAATTACCCTGGTCAGGAAGGGGGTAAAAGTGTCCGGTCTGGAAGTGGTTAAGGAAGAAAGAACAATGGAACCCCTTTGAAAATGTGTTTAGTACATGGGGAGACGGGAAACATGGAACTTCGAAAATATATAAAATTCTTAGTAAGTTAACAACAAAAATGATATCGGCATGTATAGAGAGATGGGAGAGGGAATTAGGAATAAAAATAGAGGATAAACAAAAAAAGATTTACAAGTTAACACGTGGTAATGTGAGTATGAAAGAGGTAGAGATGCACTATAAATGTTTGGCGAGGTGGTATATGACACCACATGTAGTACAAAAACAAAATAAGGATAAATCACCTTTATGTTGGAGGGGTTGTGGGGAACAGGGCACAGTAGGTCACATTTGGTGGGAATGTCACAAAATTCAGAAATATTGGGAAGAAGTACTTCACGTGACACAAGAAATAACTGGGATAAAAATATTAAAGGAACCCGGGGTATGTCTCTTACATGGAACAGAGTTAACGGTTGAAAGGTATAAAAATTCTGGATTATTGCACTATATTAATGCAGCAAAGGGTTTGATTACTAAATTCTGGAGGGAACAAGAAGCACCAAAAATATCGGATTGGATTAAAAAGGTAGACCAGATATATAGGATGGAAGAACTATACTATATAGACGAGGACAAAGTGGAGTGTTTTCGTGAGAAATGGAAAAAGTGGGAGGAATTTAAGAAGGTTAAATTAATTGAAATTGTATAGAAGGAAAAATGCATCCTAGGACTCCAAAAAAAGAAAGAGAAAAGATGCTGAGAGGTGGGGGGGGATGGGAAGTTGTATGTGGGGTAAAAATAATAGAATAAGTTATGTTGGAATTTTAATTGATGGAAGAGATAAAATGTAAAACTCAATAAAATATTAATAAAAAAAGAGAAACGGTTTGATGTTCAGGTGGTTAGAAGAGTGAGTGATGTGTGGCATAAACTTCTAATGCTGGGCATATAATGAACGCCCCCACCCCCCTAAAGCGACCCGTTTTTCGAAAGTAGACACCCCAAACTATTTGCTGAGAGGCAGGTTGGATCAATAGAAGAATTTATTTTTTTACCACAATTTTGGAAAATGACATTTTTTTTAATTTTTTTTTTACACAAAATTGTCACTTAAATGATTTACTGCTCACACATGCCATGGGTATATATGGAATCACTCCCCAAAATACATTCTGCTACTTCTCCCGAGTATGGGGGTACCACATGTGAGAGACGTTTTGGCAGTCTAGCCAAGTACAGGACCCCAAAATCCAATAAGCACCTTCAGGCTTTTAAAGGGCTTTATTTCCTCATTACACTTCCAGACTACCTTTCACAGTTTCGGAGGCCCTGAAATGCAGGATAGCACCTAACCCCCCCCCCCCCCCCCCCCCAATTACCACTTTTTGGAAAGTAGACACCCGAAGGAATTTGATAAGAAGCATGGTAAGTATTTTGCAGATCTCATTTGTTGCCACAAGTTTTTGGAAAATGAATAAAAAAAACAAAAACATATTTTTTCTATTTTTTTTTTTATATTTCAAAACTTTGTGAGAAAAAATGAGATCTGCAAAATACTCACCATGCCTCTTTTTAAATTTCTTGGGGTGTCTACTTTCCAGAAAGGGGTCATTTTGGGGGGGTTTGGTGCTATCCTGGCATTTCAGGGCCTTCGAAACTGTGATAGGTATTGAGGAAGTGAAATGAGGAAGTTGCGCACCTTCAGGCTTTCAAATTGGTCATTGGATTTCAGGCTCCTGTATGTGGCTAGGCTCCCAAAAAGTCTCACACGTGGTATCTCCATACTCTGTAGAAGTAGCAGAATGTATTTTGGGGTGTAATTCCACATATACCCATGGCTTGTGCGAGAAATAAATCATTTAAATGACAACTTTGTGTAAAAAAATAAAAAAATGTTTTTTGTCATTTTCCAGAAACTTGTGGAAATAAAATAAATCTTACATGGACTCAATATGCCTCTCAGCAGATAACTTAGGGTGTGTACTTTCCAAAAAGGGGTCATTTGAGGGTGTTTGTACTATCCTGGTATTTTAGCACCTCAAGAAATGTGATGAGCAGTCAGAAAGTAAAAGCAGTGTAAATTCCATTATCTATACCATAGTTTGTAGACGCTATAACTCACACAAAGCAATAAATATACACTTACTGGGATTTTTTAACCAAAAACATGTAGCACAATACATTTTGGCCTAAATTTATGACAAAATTTTAGTTTTTTTGGATATTTTTTATGACCGAAATGAGAACATATTGTTTTTTGCAAAAGTTTTTGTTTAGAGCAGCGGTTCTCAACCTGGGGGTCGCGACCCCTTTGGGGGTCGAACGACGCTTCCACAGGGGTCGCCTAAAACCATCGGAAAACACATATTTCCGATGGTCTTAGGAACCGAGACACCGCTCCTCGCCGCCGCCGCCGCCACCGCCGTCTCCAGGTGTGGGCGGGATGACATGCCGCCCCTGTCATCTGGACACACCTCGAGATCAATCCTCGCCTGTGATTGGCCGCCGGCACTGTAGCTCAGGAGAGGCACACAGGCGGCCAATCACCGGCAAGGAGGTGGAGCTTGGAGAGGAGGAGCCGAGCGGCACCGCGAAGATCGAGCGAGTGAAGAGGAGGAGAGCGGCCGGAGAAGGAAGACATCTGACAGGTAAGTGTCGGTACCATGGGAGAGGGAGGGAGCGAGCGAGCCCAGGCTGGAGCAGGGGTCTGCAAGGTAAGTATCATTGGTGTCAGTGGGAATAGTGCCCCATCATTGGTGTCACTAATACCAATGATGGGGCACTATTCCTCCCACTGACACCAACGATGGGACACTATTCCTCCCACTGACACCAACGATGGGGCACTATTCCTCCCCCAAATGACACCAACGATGGGGCACTATTCCTCCCCCACTGACACCAAGGATGGGGCACTATTCCTCCCCCACTGACACCAAGGATGGGGCACGATTCCTCCCCCCACTGACACCAACGATGGGGCACAATTCCTCCCCCCACTGACACCAAGGATGGGGCACTATTCCTCCCCCCACTGACACCAAGGATGGGGCACTATTCCCCCCCCCACTGACACCAAGGATGGGGCACTATTCCTCCCCCCACTGACACCAAGGATGGGGCACTATTCCTCCCCCCACTGACACCAAGGATGGGGCACTATTCCTCCCCCCACTGACACCTATGATGGGGCACTATTCCCCCCACTGACACCTATGATGGGGCACTATTCCTCCCCCCCACTGACACCAATGATGGGGCACTATTCCTCCTCCCACTGACACCAACGATGGGGCACTATTCCTCCCACTGACAGCAATGATGGGGCACTATTCCTCCCATGATACCAATGATGGGGCACTATTCCTCCCACTGATACCGATGATGGGGCACTATGGGGCACTATTCCTCCCACTGATACCAATGACGGGGCACTATTCCTCCCACTGATACCAATGACGGGGCACTATTCCTCCTCCCACTGATACCAATGACGGGGCACTATTCCTCCCACTGACACCAATGACGGGGCACTATTCCTCCCACTGATACCAATGATGGGGCACTATTCCTCCCACTGATACCAATGATGAGGCACTATTCCTCCCACTGACACCTATGATGGGGCACTATTCCTCCCACCACTGATGGGGACTATTCCTCCTCCCACTGACACCTATGATGGGGCACTATTCCTCCCACTGATACCGATGATGGGACACTATTCCTCCCACTGATACCGATGATGAGGCACTATTCCTCCCACTGACACCGATGATGGGGCACTATTCCTCCCACTGACACCGATGATGGGGCACTATTCCTCCCACTGACACCGATGATGGAGCACTATTCCTCCCACTGATACCGATGACGGGGCACTATTCCTCACACTGACACCGATGACGAGGCACTATTCCTCCCACTGACACCAATGATGGGGCACTATTCCTCCCACTGACACCGATGATCGGGCACTATTCCTCCCACTGATACCAATGATGGGACACTATTCCTCCCACTGATACCAATGATGGGGCACTATTCCCCCCCACTGACACCAATGATGGGGCACTATTCCTCCCACTGTTACCAATGATGAGGCACTATTCCTCCCACTGACACCAATGATGGGACACTATTCCTCCCACTGACACCAATGAAAGGGGCACTATTCCTCCCACTGACACCAATGAAAGGGGCACTATTCCTCCCACTGACACCAATGAAAGGGGCACTATTCCTCCCACTGACACCAATGACGGGGCACTATTCCTCCCACTGATACCAATGATGGGGCACTATTCCTCCCAATGACACCAATGACGTGGCACTATTCCTCTTACTGCAAAATTACAGTTATGAAGTAGCAACGAAAATAATTTTATGGTTGGGGGTCACCACAACATGAGGAACTGTATTAAGGGGTCGCGGCGCTAGAAAGGTTGAGAACCACTGGTTTAGAGCACCAAAAATAAAAAGTGCACAGGTGATCAAATACCACCAAAAGCTCTATTTGTGTGAAAAAAGGACATAAATTTTATTTATGTACCGTATTGCATGACCACACAATTGTCCGTTAAACTAGCGCAGCACTGTATAGGAAAAAAAATGGCGTAAATTGCAGTATCTATACCATAGTTTGTAGACACTATAACTTTCACACAAAGCAATCAATATACACTTAAGTAAAAAATATAGTTTTTCTTCCAAATTTTCAGTCTTTTTTTGTTTATAGCGTGAAAAATAAAAAGCGCACAGGTTCGTTTGGGTGCAGCATTGCATGAACGCACAATTATCAGTTGAATTAGTGCAGCGCTGAGTAGCAAAAAAAAGGCCTGGTCAGGAAGGGGGGTAAATCCTCAGGAGGGAAAGTGGTTAATCACCATTGTTTGTTTTTTTTTTTATTATTTTATATAAACTGAAAAAAAATAGCAACAATGTATTCTGCTCCATTTCTTTAGTAAAACATTGCCTGAATCGAATCAGTGTATATTATTTAGTCTGTGAAAGTTATACATACTTCTGTCCTAAAAACTATGGAGTATATATTTTTGAAAATTGACCAGTCCTGATGTACTGATTTCTTGAGGCCCTAAAATGGCAGAACAGTACAAATACCCCCCAAATGCCAGGACAGTACAAATGACCCCAAATGACTCCTTTTTGGAAAGTAAACAGTCAAAGGTATTTATTAAGAGGCATAATGAGTTTCTTGAAGTTGTAATTTTTTGTCACAATTTTTTGGAAAATGAAGAAATTTTTTTTTCTTTCATAAAGGTTTCAATAGTAATGTAGACCGGTGTTCAGAGATCAGTAGGATATAGGGCAGTGTTCAGAGGTCAGTAGGATGTAGAGCAGTGTACAGAGGTCAGTAGTATGTAGGACAGTGTACAGATGTCCGTAGGATGTAGGGCAGTGTTCAGAGGTCAGTGGTACGAAGGACTGTGTACAGAGGTCAGTAGTATGTAGGGCAGTGTCCAGAGGTCAGTAGAATGTAGGGCGGTGTCCAGAGGTCAGTAGAATGTAGGGCTGTGTCCAGAGGGCAGTAATATATAGGGCAGTGTACAGAGGTCAGCAGTATGTAGGTGTCTTGGAAATTCGCTTTGAACAAATTTTTCCTTACCGTGAGTACTCGCAGTTGGATGCGCAGAAATCCCCCATAAAGCTGTGCGAATCTCACTGCAGCCGTATTACGCCTTCCACTTACGACAACTTCAGCTAAACGCCATGATTCCTGCGCCTCCAACTGGTTTAGCTCTTTTGAGATGTGGAGAGAAAAGGAGCTCCTGTTACCTAAAAATAATCGGGCGACACTCTTAGGTTGCTGTTGGAATTCACATAGAGGAAGTTTTCATTCTCAGCCTCTGGTTTTATTACAAGCATACACACACACACCCACATGAGTCAGGTCAATCCCCTCCCACAGAACAATGCAATGGGGAGTGCCTATACACAGGATGTACATTCCGATTGGAGCATAGCCTTTCCTATTATCTATCACCGGTCCTCCCCCCATGAGCCCTCTGAGGTCAGCAGACTTCCTGTCCTAGCACCTAGTGGTATGTAAATTCTCTGTACAAGCATCCCATAGATTAAACAGTGTCTGTATCTGAATGGGCCCGATACGATCTTTATTAAAACATATGCATCCAGATACAGTTTCAGGTTGGTAATGGCTTGTAAGATATACATGAGCCTACACGCGGAGTTCGCACTGCTTGGCGCCTTGCGGTACGGAGTCCATGTGGTACTATGCTGCTGATATGTGGATACAGGCCCGCGGCCTACCGCCGGCGGCATTTGCATCGAATGCCGTGGTGGTATACACACTGGTCTATAAGCGCAGATCTGCCATCTCATCCATAACCGAGCTGAGTACTGTAATACATACATTGTACATGCGCATGGCCCAATTGCAGCCTTCAGAGCTTTAATTAAGCCACACGAGAGACATATGAATAACACCAATATATGACACATTTAAAGTTCAACCAAAAATACAAAATTTCCATGACATAGGGCAGTGTACAAAGAACAGTAGGATAGTGTACAGAGGTCAGTAGGATGTAGGTTAGTGTACAGAGGTCAGTAATATATAGGATAGTGTACAGAGGTCAGTAGGATGTAGGGCAGTGTACAGAGGTCAGTAGGATGTAGAGCAGTGTACAGAGGTCAGTAGTATGTAGAGCAGTGTACAGAGGTTAGTAGTATGTAGGGCACTGTACAGAGGTCAGTAGGATGTAGGGCAGTGTACAGAGGTCAGTAGGATGTAGGGCAGTGTACAGAGGTCAGTAGTATGTAGAGCAGTGTACAGAGGTCAGTAGTATGTAGAGCAGTGTACAGAGGTCAGTACTAGGTAGGGCAGTGTACAGAGGTCAGTATGATGTAGGGAAGTGTACAGAGGTCAGTAGTATGTAGAGCAGTGTACAGAAGTCAATAGTATAGTAGTATGTAGGGCAGTGTGCAGAGGTCAGTAGTATTTGGGGTGCTGTCCAGAGGCCAGTAGTATGTAGGGCAGTGTACAGAGGTCAGTAGGATGTACAGCAGTGTCCAGAGGTCCGTAGTATGTAGGACAGTGTATATAAATCAATAGTATGTAGGACAATGTATAGAAGTCAATAGTGTGTAGGGCAGTGTACAGAGGTCAGTAGGATGTTGGGCAGTGTACAGAGGTCCGTAGGATGTAGCGCAGTGTACAGAGGTCAGTATAATGTAGGGCAGTGTGCAGAGGTCAGTAGAATGTAGGGCGGTGTCCAGAGGTCAGTAGAATGTAGGGCTGTGTCCAGAGGGCAGTAATATATAGGGCAGTGTACAGAGGTCAGTAGTATGTAGGGCAGTGTACAGAGAACAGTAGGATGTAGGGTAGTGTACAGGGGTTATCAGTATATAGAGCAGTGTACAGAGGTCAGTAGAATGTAGTTTAGTGTACAGAGGTCAGCAATATATAGGATAGTGTACAGAGGTCAGTAGGATGTAGGGTAGTGTACAGGGGTCATCAGTATGTAGAGCAGTGTACAGAGGTTAGTAGTATGTAGGGCAGTGTACAGAGGTCAATAGTAGGTAGGGCTCTGTACAGAGGTCAGTATTATGTAGGGCAGTGTACAGAGGTCAGTAGTATGTAGAGCAGTGTACAGAGGTCAGTAGGATGTAGGGAAGTGTACAGAGGTCGGTAGTATGTAGGGCAGTGTACAGAGGTCAGTAGGATGTACAGCAGTGTCCAGAGGTCCGTAGTATGTAGGACAGTGTATATAAATCAATAGTATGTAGGACAGTATATGGACGTCAGTAGTGTGTAGGGCAGTGTACAGAGGTCAGTAGGATGTTGGGCAGTGTACAGAGGTCAGTAGGATGTTGGGCAGTGTACAGAGGTCGGTAGGATGTAGGGAAGTGTACAGAGGTCGGTAGTATGTAGGGCAGTGTACAGAGGTCAGTAGGATGTATAGCAGTGTCCAGAGGTCCGTAGTATGTAGGACAGTGTATATAAATCAATAGTATGTAGGACAGTCTATAGACGTCAGTAGTGTGTAGGGCAGTGTACAGAGGTCAGTAGGATGTAGAGCAGTGTACAGAGGTCAGTAGGATGTTGCGCAGTGTACAGAGGTCAGTAGGATGTTGCGCAGTGTACAGAGGTCGGTAGGATGTAGGGCAGTGTACAGAGGTCAGTGGTATGTAGGGCAGTGTACCGAGGTCAGTAGTATGTAGAGCAGTGTACTGAGGTCAGTATAATGTAGGGCAGTGTGCAGAGGTCAGTAGAATGTAGGGCGGTGTCCAGAGGTCAGTAGAATGTAGGGCGATGTCCAGAGGTCAGTAGAATGTAGGGCTGTGTCCAGAGGGCAGTAATATATAGGGCAGTGTACAGAGGTCCGTAGTATGTAGGACAGTGTATATAAATCAATAGTATGTAGGACAGTCTATAGACGTCAGTAGTGTGTAGGGCAGTGTACAGAGGTCAGTAGGATGTAGAGCAGTGTACAGAGGTCAGTAGGATGTTGCGCAGTGTACAGAGGTCAGTAGGATGTTGCGCAGTGCACAGAGGTCGGTAGGATGTAGGGCAGTGTACAGAGGTCAGTGGTATGTAGGGCAGTGTACCGAGGTCAGTAGTATGTAGAGCAGTGTACTGAGGTCAGTATAATGTAGGGCAGTGTGCAGAGGTCAGTAGAATGTAGGGCGGTGTCCAGAGGTCAGTAGAATGTAGGGCTGTGTCCAGAGGGCAGTAATATATAGGGCAGTGTACAGAGGTCAGTAGTATGTAGGGCAGTGTACAGAGAACAGTAGGATAGTGTACAGAGAACAGTAGGATAGTGTACAGAGGTCAGTAGGATGTAGGGTAGTGTACAGGGGTTATCAGTATATAGAGCAGTGTACAGAGGTCAGTAGAATGTAGGGTAGTGTACAGAGGTCAGTAATATATAGGATAGTTTACAGAGGTCAGTAGGATGTAGGGTAGTGTACAGGGGTTATCAGTATGTAGAGCAGTGTACAGAGGTCAGTAGAATGTAGGGTAGTGTACAGAGGTCAGTAATATATAGGATAGTTTACAGAGGTCAGTAGGATGTAGGGTAGTGTACGGGGGTCATCAGTATGTAGAGCAGTGTACAGAGGT